TAAGTGACTCCTTTCTGCGCAGCCAAACTCAAATGGCTTTTGTTGGTTTTTCCCTGGCGAGCTGCTGGAGCAGGGGCAGCGCCTGGTCTCGGGTACCTGCAAATCCTGGGGACAGGCAGGGGTGGGCAGTGTTCAGGGGTTGTGTTTTGTGTTTTCATTTCATGGGATTCAGCAGCTGGTAACAGAGAGCGGGACTGGCAGCCTGGCAAGCTGTGTAGAGCTCTCCACTAGGAAATGCAGGTGGATATTCAAGGATGGACAGCCTAAAATAAATCAAAATAAAAAATGTCTAACCCACTAAGTCTGCACTCGGTTGCAATTTTGCCTACAAACACCACACCAAAGCTGCTGGGTGCTGCGCACTTGAAAGCCTGTCCTCTGTTATGAAGGCCAGGGAAGAGTAGGAAGCCTTCTCCCAGCTCTTTGGGGATGTGGACTTTATCTGGCCAACCCTCCCTGACCCCCCTCAACTGGTCTGAAACTTTGGACCCTGAAGACGTCCTCTGTGCCCTATCGTCTCCGAGACAGGGTTGGCAAAACTTATATCATCTCCCAGTGTGCTGCTGGAGCTTGCTGTAGACACCGGGGGTAACGCCAAAGGCAGAGATGCATCAAGAAGACCAATTGTTTGCAATGACATATTCTGCATTTTAAATGATCTTTGATTTCCTGGCAGCTCCCCAGCGTATCACCCCTCCGTGATGCTGTCTAAATAATGTTTGTCAGGTGAAGCCACATCTGGGTAACAGGCAGGCCAGTCCGCAGCGCACTGTTAGTCATCGGGGATTTCCGAAACCCACCGGCCGATCAATCTCAAGAACTTACTAAGTGATAGATGGAATATAATATAGGTCATTATTTCTTCCCTATGCATGAAAATGAATTATTCAGTAAAGATTTAGATCCTTTTTATTATGACACTGAATTTATAGAGCATACAAAACATAAATGCAGATTTCTCCAGCACCAGACAGATGAACTCATTCTCCGGGCAGCGTGAGTTAGGCGCAGCCATTCGGCACCGCTGCACGGCACAGACAAGGTGTCCCGACGCTGGGGCACACGATGGCAATGTGGGCGATTAGGACCTACACCTAGCTCAGCTCCCAGCTTCCTTCCTCGGCATAGTATTGCCAAAAGCCCTTAGCTGCTTTAGGAGCCCAAGATCTAATTATTTCAGAAATCAGGTTCTCGGGACCTACGCCTCTTCAATGAGATTTGGAGTCATACGTCACTTGGACATTATAAAAGCTGATCTGCATCTCAATCTCTGACCCAAGACAGAGTTGCCATATATCAAAAGGAAATGAGAGGCTAAACCCTGTTAATGAAAAGTGAGTGGACAGATGTGGTCTTCCTGAGTTCGGCTGCCTACAGAGCTGCTGCCTAGAATTTGGGTTGGTTTGTATCAATAGCAGTAACTTTCCTTGTTACCGGAATAAATGCTCCAACTTTTAATTGCGCAGCTAGTGAGAGCGTTACCAGTGCCCAGCAGTTACAGATGTCAGCTTCGCAGTTCATTAGCTGCTTCCAAAACTCTGCCGGGAGTTCAGATTTTTAGCACGAACGTTAGAGGTCAGGGAGAAGGAGAGCAAAGGGCAAGCCTGCAAACTCTCCCGGGTTTGGAGAAAAGGCTGGGGTTTGGGGCTGGAACAGCACCTTCGGGGACGGGTGCTGTCTGCTGCCCAGGGGCAGGGCAGCGGGTCCTGGTTTGTCACCCCAGGGGCTTCGGGCCCTGAACACATCCCCCAGAGCATCCCCGAGGCAATGGTTGGGGCTTTGTTCACTGCAACACGGGGCAGAGGAGTGGTCAGTCCCTTTGTTAGGGCTGTGCTGACCCCAGAGGGTTTGGGGGCCCAGGCACGGCAGTGCTGGTGCCTCTGCTGAGCGTTTCTTCTCTGTCGGCATCTGCATCCAGGGCAGCCAAGGGGGGGGGCCTGGGTCCTCTGTACTTGGAGCTGACAGCGGGGAAACTTGTTTCCTCTGGACATAGCCCAAACATTTTACTAATTTTACTAACTCCCTGGGCCAAATTCTGCCCTAGGTAATGTTAGAATAATTTGCTCCTCGGAAAGCTGCAGTGTAATTACCTGTCCTGGGTGTGTGTGCTGGTGGGGAGGCAAGCGGAGGCGGCAGGTAGGGTAAACGGGCTCGCTGGTTTTTCGTGCAATCGGGCGGCGGTTTGCACCGGGCTGTTTTCTCATGCTGCAGCATCTACCTCTCACACGGTGCCCTCGGGCAGCGGGCTCTGCTCTGCGCACGTGGAGAGGTGCGAGGGCAGCCTCGAAGAGAGGGCAAAGCCCTGCGCCCGCCTTCCCGGCTGCGCTGCCCTGGGCTTTCTCAAAATCAGTCCTTAGTGGGATTTTCCTCATGCAAGCACCGTCAAAATGCCATTGCCAAAACGCTGGGAGTAAGGACCGGGGGGGTTTCCAGCTTAATGTATATATACTAACTGCTCATGTTTGTAAACCTCACCAAGGGCAAAAACAAACACGGTAATGGAAGGCTGGCTGAAAATCACCCGAATTTGTAAATCTCAGCAGCATGTGCAGGAGAAATAGCAAAAACGGCTGAATAGATTGGAATTGGTTGCCTGTCTGAACCCAGCCACGGTGCTGGGAAAGGTGGAAAAGAGAAAGTACCGATAAAGTCCTTCAAAAACCATTTGACCTGTAATGTTCACCGAGGTAAGGGATAACAGTGGAGATTTCGTTTTCATATACAGAAATCCAAATTTTTTTCTTGAGCTGTAATCAGCTCTGCTGAAGTTCCCTCTGTCCATCAGCAAAATCTGTCTTGTGCCTGTTCTTTCTGGAACCCCTTTAAAATTCTGCACCGCGGTCAGAGAGATTAAAGGGGTAATATAACCCCAGGAACCACACTCCTGACTAGTAATTTCCCGGTGATTATTATGAGAAATAGCTAAGATCTGAAGGAGGCTCAGAGGGGGGAGAAAAAGACTGTTCTTTAATCCTCTGCAACCATTCACTTTGCACGTTGGTGCTGCTGGGGCAGGGCCGGGTCAGCTCCTGCCCCAGCCGGAGCAGCCGGAGTCTTCAAGACAAAACAAGCCCAGTAAAGCGAATTTTATCAGATTTTTACAGTGGTCAGCATCAAAACCTGAAGATGACTGTTTCTCTGGCAGGCCTGACCTACCAGACCCGTGCACGTCCTCTGATTTACGCCTTGTTCTTTAGTCACTGCTGGAAAGTACATTTAGACCCTGCCCCCACGCTCCCCAATAAAAATAATTATAATCCCCGAGTTTGAAATAGTTGGTGACGCCAAAATAGCTCTTGCAGGCATGGCTGCCGAGCCGGGAGGGCTTCGGTGAGGAGGCACTCGGTCCCTGGCGAGCCGAGGTACTCAAAATCAATGGATGGTTCTGAAAATGTAGGGCAACGTGGCTCAGTCCCGCTGGGCGGGCGGCCCGCGCTCCCGCTCACCGCTTCTTAATTTAGGTGAAGCTGATTGCTTTCACCTTCTATAATTACGACACTACTTGGCAGCCCCACCGCCGCTTCTGTCTGACGCTGCGAAGAGCCGTTCGAACGCCGCGTGGAACATGCAGGAGCTGAGGGGTGAAGGCTGTCGCTCGTGCTGGGCAGGGCCCTTCTGGGGCCAAAGGCTGCAGCGGGGAGCGGGGGGAACCGGGGTGTGGGAACCCCGGGACACGGGGGTGCAGGAGCCTCAGGATGTGGGAACCCCAGGATGTGGGGGTACGGGGGTGCAGGAGCCCCAGGGCATGGGAACCCCGGGACATGGGGGTGCAGGAGCCCTGGGACATGGGGGTGTGGGGGTGCAGGAGCCCTGGGCGGTGGGAACCCCAGGATGTGGGGGCGTGGGGGTGCAGGAGCCCTGGGCGGTGGGAACCCCAGGATGTGGGGGCACTGGGGTGCAGGAGCCCCGGGACATGGGGGCACTGGGGTGCAGGAGCCCTGGGACGTGGGGGGCACTGGGGTGCAGGAGCCTCTGCATGGGGGCACGGGGGTGCAGGAGCCCCAGGACATGGGAACCCCGGGACAGGGGGGTGCAGGAGCCCTGGGATGTGGGGGCGTGGGGGTGCAGGAGCCCTCGGCGGTGGGAACCCCAGAATGTGGGGGCACTGGGGTGCAGGAGCCCTGGGCGGTGGGAACCCCAGAATGTGGGGGCACTGGGGTGCAGGAGCCCCGGGACATGGGAACCCCGGGACATGGGGGTGCAGGAGCCCTGGGATGCGGAGGCACCGGGGTGCAGGAGCCTCGGCATGGGGGGGCACTGGAATGTGGGATCCTCAGGACGCAGGGGCACTGGCGTGCAGGAGCCCCGGAACGTGGGGGGCCCCCGGCGCTGGCAGGTCGGGGCTGTGCGCGCCCACGCGGGAGGGCAGCGCGGGTGCCCGCGCCCGGGGTAAGCGACACCTCACCGCGCCGCCCCCATTTCCCACTCGCCCCTCAACTCAATTCGCTCGCCTTCGCCGGACACCCGCCCGCCCCCTGCGATTGTTTATTCGGCATCAGCCGGCGGCAAAAAAAAAAAAAAAAAAAAAAAAAAAAAAAAAAAAAAAAAGGAAGAAAAGGGGGAAGTGCGGTGGGATGGCGGGAAAGCCCACATCTCGCGCCGCCGTCACCGTACGAGACACCGACCCCCCCCCGCCCACCCCCCCCCCCCCCCCCCAAACCTCGGGGTCCTGCTTTGCCGTTGCCAGGCGGCCCACGGCCGCGCGCGTCGGTGACGTCACGGCAGGGCCACGCGACGGCGGCGGGCCCCGCCCCGTGGCGCGGGGGCGGGAGGGAGGGAGGGAGAAGGGGAGGGGAGGGGAGGGAGAGGGAGGAGAGGCGGCGCGGGATGGAGGGAGGAGAGGATGGTGGCGGGGGGAGGGAGGGACGGCGCGGCGCGGCGCTGAGCTAAGCCGATCCCACGTGTGACGGATCTGGCTGCTTCCCCAGCGCCTCTCCAGTGAGATCCTCCGGTAGCGGAGGGAGGAGGAGGAGGGGGGAAGGGAAGGGGAAAAGCAAACCGGAGCGAACCGAGCCGTAGCCGGGCCGGGGGGGGCGGGTTGGGCGGGGGGGGTTCTCTCAGGGGTTCTCGCTCGGCGCGGCGCGGATCGCTGCGGGCTCCGCGCGGCCATGGAGGCGGACGGGAGCCAGGCTACCTCGGGGAGCCCCGGCGAGGCGCAGCACGACCCCGGGTAAGTCGGCGGGCGGCGGGGCGCGGAGCGGAGCGGCGAGGAGCGGGGCCGGCCCCCCTCACTTCCCCCCCCCCCCCCCCCCTTTTCCTCACACCACCCCACATCGCCCCGCTCCTCGCCGCTCCGCTCCGCGCCTCTCCGCGCCGCCGTGAGGTGCCCCGTCAAAATGGCCGATCCCGCACCGGCGTTCAACTCCGCTCTCTTCTCTCCCTCCAGCAAGATGTTCATCGGCGGCCTCAGCTGGCAAACCTCACCAGGTAAGGACCGCCGCCCCCCCCCACGCCCCTGTCGCCGCTCCCCCCACGTCCCCCCCCCGTCCCCCCCCCCCCCCTCCTTTTCCTTCCCCATGCGTTCCGCCCCGCGTGGGCCGCGTCCCGCCGGGGCCTGCCCGCGCCCCCCCCCCCCCCCCCCCCCCCAAACACCCCCCCCTTTCCCCTCCTCTGCCTCTGTGCTTCTCTCTCTCTCCGCAGACAGCCTTAGAGACTATTTTAGCAAATTCGGAGAAATTAGAGAGTGTATGGTCATGCGGGACCCCACCACCAAACGCTCCAGGTAAAACCGCCGCCCACCCGGGGCGGGTTGACAAACTTCGCGAGTTGCCGCCGGCGCGGGTGGGCGGCCCCGCACCCCACCTCCCCCCCCTCCCCTTCCAACCTCACCCCCAATCCCTATCCCACCCCACGCGTGGGGTTTTTCGGGAGGTTTCTCCTCGCGCCGCATCCCTCCAGCCGGGAGGAGGAAACAAAGCGGCCGGGGGAGGCGGCGGGGTGTGGGGGGCTGCCCGCCCCCCCGGGGGCTCTGCCCGAGGGCAGGGGGGGAGGAAACACCCGCTTATTTTTTTTGTGACTTTTCTCCTTCTCTCTAGTTCTCATCATTCCCCCCCTCCTCCCCATCCCCTCGCTCTTTGTCTCTCGCAGAGGCTTCGGGTTCGTTACCTTCGCGGATCCGGCGAGTGTAGACAAAGTCCTGTCTCAGCCCCACCACGAGCTGGACTCCAAGACGGTAGGTCCTGCGTGGGGCTGCCCGGCTGCCCTTCCTCCCCCGCGGTGACAGGCGGCCGTGGGGGGACCGAGCCCGCGCCCCGCCGCGGCTGCCACTCCGTTTTTTTTGCGGGGCGGTGTCAAGCTGTCATTGAACCGGGACTTTGCATGCTTGGGTTTTTCCTTTTTCTTCTTTTTTAATTTCCCCTGCAGTCCACCTTTAACTTAAAAAAAGGCAGTAACTTTTTTTTTTTTTTTTTTTTTTTTTTTTAAATCTGAATTCACCCATACCGACCGATGGCTCCTCCCCCAGCCTTATATTTTGTTGAGCGGTGACATTGAAAAAACTGTAGACTGAAATCCAACTTTTTTTGGTGTTCCGCTGCGGAATGCTTTCTGCGGGGAACTTTCTCCTTCTTTTGATTGATTATTTATTTACTGGTGCGCGCGTTTCAAGGTGGGAGTGACTTACTGTCAGATTGGAAAAGCTGCTTCTGGTGTCATTTCCCAAAGTCATTTTTTGGAGAGATCCCCCCTCACCTGCGATGTCAGGGCCCTTATGAAACATACGCATTAATTTGTGGAAAGCTGTGCGAGAGCTCGAGAGTAGATGTGGTAGGGAAGCACAAGTCCTAATTTGTTGTTGTTTCTCCAGAGCTTTTTGCTACACTCAGTCTCCTGTGGATAGCATAAGGAAAATGCTCATGAGATTCAGCTGATCTATTTTTTTAATAAACATTGCACTTGCTGCTTTTTTTTTTTTTTTTTTTTGTCTTTTTAATAAAAAAAATCCAAACTTAAGTTTGCCCCTTGACCTGATACAGCATTTTCAGTATTGGGTCAAACAAAAGAAGGTATCAAGCGTGTGTACCTTTAGGCCCTGTTTCTCTCCCTGCAATCGAGGCCGTGCAAAAGGATGAAGTTTTGTGCCTCGTACTTTATTGCAATTTTAAGCCTCGGCAAACCTGGAAGGGGAGGGGGGAAGGACACTGGTAGAGGTCATTATTGCTTTGGTACTGATCGGTCTGAAGGGGGTTGTGTTTTGAGAAAGGAAGGATCGTGCTGGTTTAACTGGCTGGCAGGGAGCTTCTGCTGGACGTATCGAATGTGTTTGGTGCTGTAACTGTCTTTTATAGTGTGTATTCTGGATCGTAAAGGTTTTATTTTGACATGAGCATGATGGTAGGAGGAATCCTGTCTCGGTGCTGGAACATCTTGTGTGTGCCTGTGTGTATGAGATTATAGTTAAATGAAGAATAGAAGAAGCAGGGAGCAAACATGAGCGTATGATTTTTTTTTTTTTTTTTTAAAATGTGATTTATATGAAAACAGCCCAAAGCGCTCTCAGAAGCAGGTGGAATCTAGTGTTTTAATTCGACCTACAAATTCTGCTGGGCTTGTCTGAACACGTAGCCCGTGCTTTCACATGCCTTAATAATTTGATTTTAGGTTTAATCAGATATGGTAAGATAACTGATTCGACTGTGCTCCTGAGATTAAACTCACCAGACTTTTCATGTACAGCTATATTCTCTATGTGTTTTTAAAGATAAATTTAGATAAGAAGAACAAAGGCAAACAGTATCTTGAATGAGGGTTTAAAAAAAAAAAAAAAAAAAAGAAATCATGGGAGGACACCCTGTCATATTTCTGACTATAAGTAGGTCCTCCCCCAGCTTTTTCCCTGTATCACAGTCTAGTCTGTCCCTGCAATGTATTAATTTGCTCTTCTCTGGGGGAGGGGTGAAAAGCTTGACCAGGACAAATTTTGCCTCTATTTTGATGGTTTGATAATGATTGAATCAATCTAAAGAAGAAACTGACCTTCAAATCAGTAACACAGCTTAAAAGTAAAACCTAAAAGTAGCCAGGTTCCCTTTCAGCCGTTTATTTGTAGACGTATTATAGTAACTGTTCTTTAGTATAACATAGCATTTGACTCTGTTTCAACGTTCAGCACAGGAGGCAGATCGGTTGGGTATTGGCATGGAAACGTCGCTCTTGTTTACAGTTACGTTAAAAGCTTTGTTTAGGTAATGGCCATTCATATCAGAAATAGTATTATAGTCATTTCCTAGAGGACTTGTAGATACAGTAAGTAGAATTGTACCTAACTAACTAATTTTTTTTTTTGGTAGAAGTTTTTTTTTGTTTGTTTGTTTTTTGTTTTTTTTTTTCCTTGGTTTTTTAAATAGTTGACAGGGATATGCAAAAGGTATGGATTTGCCATATTGATTGCTAGTGTTCATCTTCAAATGCTGATGGTGTTTATCCGAAAGGTTTTTGTGAAGGAAAACTCAGTTACTTAAGAAGGGCTGTCGCTGTGGTGCAAAGAACTCCATGCTCTTTGAATTGACCTTCAAAAATGAATGTGTTGCTTTAGAGTTTAATAGCTCTTGCAACTTTTTACCACTGGGACTGTGCAGTGATGTCCTTCTGGTGGGACTGTTCTTTGTTGAGAAAACTTTCGCTTTTGAAGCAAATGTAGAAATGTGCATATTTGCCTCCACCTTTGGGTATTGCTGTGGAAAATCCGTACCTGTTGTATTTCCCCAGTAGACAAATGCCTAGTCGGTGCTGAATATATTTGTAGATAATGTTAATCTCTATGAGAAGGTTAGCTTTCTAGATAAATAATTTTACTTTTTATGCTTTTTGAACAATTAAGTGGCATGTAATCGCTCATTTCTCAGGTGTGCCCTAAAAAAGATACTACATTTATATCTGATGTAGACAAACCATTTTATCAGTTGCGCATCAAATGTTTGTGATATGTCCAATTTTGACAAATGAATTGAGTAAAACTGCTTTTTAGGAGAGGCCCCTGGTTATTTATCAGTGAGAGGAATATTTATCACCGCAGGAGTAACAAAACCAAATGGAAACATCTCCTTTTCCTAATCAGGGTTAGCTTGAGGTGGGGGGGAAGCCCAACAAAAACCAAACCCAAACTATTAAAGAAAGCCTCTACTTCTAAATATGCCTTAACACAATCAGGATGAGTTGCATCAGTTTGCTATGTGGTCAAAGATGACACCGAAAGCAGTCGCAAGTTGCACAGTTAAGGTAGGATTTAGTCCTTTAAAACATCCTTTTCCAGACTCTTTATTTAGAACATGTCTGCATGCAGATGCTGCTAAAAACCAGAGGTGAAATCAGCAGCACACAGACATTTTAGTGCAGTCACTTTTAAAGAGGACAGTTTAAGCTGGGCAGTTGTTTAAAAGGTATGATTTTTATTTACATCCAGCTGTGCATCTGCAGGGGTGTCTTTTTGTTTTTAAGTGATTTTTTTGAATGGTAGGGAAGAGTGGCTTTTTGAAGATGACCCATGTGGAAGTTGTTTTTAAAATTGCAGAATTAGCATTTTGGAATTGCAGAGTGGACACGCTTTCTGATTTATGCAGTGCAATGAGAGTCAATGCTGCATCTTAAAACAAGGGAGCATGGGGTAAAACAAAGATTTTTTTTTTTTTTTTTTTTTTTTTTTCCCCTCCTTTGTCTCTGTGGTGGTGTGCTTCATTCAAGAACACTTTAGGTAACTCCTTTATGGAAGATCTTTGGGAACTTGGTTTCTTCTGGTTTAAAATGCCTATATGTTTCATTTGTGTCTTGCTCTCCTCTTTTCCCACCCCTCCCCATAAATGCCCCTTCGTAGTCTTTCATTGCTCACATATATTCTTTGACAGTGAGCAAACCAGATGAATTCAGCATGTTGTTTTAAAGGATGATCTTGTAGTCCTTATGTTTTAGTTTTAATAATGGAAATGTGAATAACTTGACTGTGTTTTGCATTTCTTTTTTGTGTGGTGTTGCTAGTCAGTTGACAAAACACAGCAGAAAAAAATAAAAGTAACCCCAAACCCAACTGAAGGAAGGTGCAGGTGTCAAAACCAATAGGTTAAGATCTTGATGAGAAATGCTGGCCGCCTCTCTGTGCAACCTCCAGAGTATGCAGATAACGTTTAACGTGCAGTTTTGGTTGTAGAGGCAGCACCTGGAGCCTAATACAGAGCTCCCTGAGCACCACTGGCGATTGTTGCCCAGAAGATGATGTAGGAGGTGTACAGAAGAGATGTTTTGTTCCTCTCTTCCCGTCTCCCTCCCCCTGCCAGACCCCCCCAGACAAACCCAGACTGTGATCCATCAGTTGCAGAGTAGTTCTAGATGACCCAGTGTGCTGAATTACAAGCCTGAGAAATGAGGGATTAATAATTCAGTGATTTAAAAACAAAATAATATAAATTGACAACAAAAGCTATCTTGTTGATTTCCCCTTTCTTTTTCCTCAGATTGACCCTAAAGTTGCATTTCCCCGACGAGCACAGCCTAAGGTAAGTAGGAGGATCGATAATAGGATTTTAGGCACACAGAGAATCATTGTTGCCAGGCAGTTCAGGTTTCAAACAGGGAATTGGCAATGAAAGCTTTTAAAGCCGGAGTGCATGGCGTCTTAAGGGTATCAGCGTATGGCTGTGAAACTACAGGAGAGCTGCTTGGTGCGATATTACGTGTCTCCAGTTTAACCGTCTCCTCGCAGAGTCCCGCTCGGTTGCGGCTGGCTGAAAAGCAAGAGGCTCCTCTAGTTCTAGCCGGAGATTGTCACCATGTTACTTGCGTTTGTTATGCTATTTTACGCAATATGTTTTGCATGGTGTTTATGAAGAGCGTTCGGATTAAGTGCAGACTTCAGGCTTGTTTTGGGCTGAGCTTTCAGTTCTGTGGTTGTGATGGATGGGAATATATCTCTGCCTTCATTGTTTGCAAATTTTGGTTTGTATAACTTGAGAGACGTGTCTGGAGACTAGTAAGCGTTGGGTAGCGGGTTTCTGATGGAGCTCTCAACTGCTCAGGCCACGGGGTGTTCTCTGTGAGAACAGTGAAACAATGAGCTTTAAGTCTCTTAGCCGGTCGGGCTGGCTGGAGAAGTGACCTTCTTCTTCCAGGGCACCCCCGCTGTGATGCGGCCAGTTTCCACGCTGGGGCAAAGACGGTGTGCAGAGGAATTTCTGTCTGCAGGCTTACTCCGAAATACCACCGGGTGCCATTTCTTCTGGACGGGTTGCTTATGGAATAGAAGTGGTTGTTGCTCTTTCAGCTGTGCCTAACGAAAACAGCAGATCAGTTCCAAATCCAAATGTGCAGTCGGTTGTATTTGGATTTTGAAAGCCAGAAGCTGAAAGAAAACTTCTGTAATTGACTTTTTTTTTTTTCTTTAATTTGTTTCTGAGTGTGTATTGGAAAAAATTTAGCTGGGGTATGCCACTTGTATGCACTCTAATCATCCTGGCTTACTCCAGTATTCTGTTAAAAAATAGAAAGCTGAAAAGTTGTGGATGCAAGTCAATAAGGAAAAGTGGTTTAAAGTTGGTGGCAGGAGACTACCTGAACAAGTTCAACCTAACAATTTTATTGCATATAGCTTCTCATGAAAGCAAGCAGTTTAATAGCATGTGGAACTATAATGTTAAATATTGTACAGAACATGCTTGTAGGAAAAACTACGTATAATTTAAAACCCATAGGTTTATAGCAGAAGTGCTAGTGATTTCTTTAAAATAAATAAATAAATAAGAACAAAACCCAACAGCCTACTTACAGAATTTTAACCCTAACTAATGCAGTCAAATATTTAGAGGTTCTTTTCTTCATAGGACGTGTCTAATAACTAATTAGAGAATAATGGTGTGCCTGGCTTGCTTCTGTGTGAAGCAGAGAGTTTATAGTTTGTAGGGTTTGTGGCTTCTGGATTATGTCATCGGATTATTGCTGCCTTTAAGATGCAACTTAAAGTTATCAGAGTTTTGAAGGATTTGATAATTAAAATATGATCTTGCGCTGTGACTGATGTTCCTTTTGCCCTTCCCAATACATTTTAAAGGCTTATTTACATTTTAAACTGTCTTCAGTTACCAGTTATCTGTTTCTACAGTGTTATTTGTGAAAGTTTATAACGCTTACAACAGAGCTGTTAAGCTGTCCCATGGGATTTCTTTTATAACAAACAAAAAAGGGCATGTTTTATGCTGAGGATATCAGCGAGTTAAATTTTCGTGTTAAAGAATGCAAAATGCATTTTTACAGAGCGGAGTTTGCTTTTCTCCACATAGATTGCTTGTTGTTTTTTTGTTATTTTTGTTTGCCCCCCGCCCCTCTTCCCCCCTGCTTTTTGGTAACAGACATATTTCAAGTGTGGGGCAGATCCTGGAACATACACTGGATTCCACTCCTAGCAGGAACTCGCTCGTTCTGGATAGGTCAGCAGTGTCTGTTTCTGCTTTTTACACACTTGTGCTTTCTAAAGTGTTGGGATTTCTACAGGGCACTTGGAAAAAATCTTAAAATTGAAAGGAGCCATATTAGGAAATTGGAGAAAATCAGATGCAATAAAGAACAGATTTTCCATCAATTATGACGTATTTTTCTGCACAGCATTTCATAATCTGGATTTTTGGTTTTCTGTTTTAATTAGATACTGAATGAAGGTCTTGGACTTTGGTTGTTCATTTATCCCAGTTGAATAGCGAATGCTCAGCGTTAAAATGTGACTGTACTTTAGTCTAATTAACTAGCTAATGCTTGGGTCTGTGGAGATTAATGGCATTTAATGAAATGTCTCTGTGTCTCTCTGGGTGCAAGGGGAGTGGGTTTTTTGGTATGGTTTTTATTTTATTTTTTTTTTTTTTCCCCCACCTTAGTAGTCTTCCTTCTGGTGTGTTTAGCAAAATGGGGACTGTGTTTGTGTTTTTTTTTTTTTTTTTTTTTTTTTTTTTCTGTGATCATCCTGGCAGTGGCTGGGTGCTGAGGTGGGAGCAAGGCTGTGGGCAGACCTTCTGGCATCCCCTTCCTCCTGGAGCCCTTTCGCCCTGCCTCGGCACGATTAACCCCTGAGCGGGCAGCAGCCGCCTCTCGGCCTGCCTTCGCCTCCTCTGCCAGATCACACGCTCGCTGTGCTCTGCAGGGTCACTCTTGCTTATTTGTGCGCACACAATAATTTGTGCTTGTTCCTTCCCCCCCCCCCCCCCCCCTTCTGATTCACTTTAATTGGCTGGTCTTCCCTTTTCAAACCGCAGCCCACTAAAATGCTTTCTTTGGGGCTTTTTAAACTGCATCTCCATGATTTGACACCTCTCTGGTGATGCAAATTGGTTACTGAGCAAGAAGTGGCAGGCTGTAACAGCAGAGCATTCTTCCCTGATTTTCTTAGAATGACCCTCACAGAAAATCCTCGGTGATTGCCTCCAGTGGATTACGCCATGATGTGTAATCCTGCTCTCCTTGTGAAGTCCAGGATGACTTGAAGCCATTGTTTTAGGAAATTTGCTGCAGGGGTTTAACTTGTTGAGGTTCTAGTATATGGCTAACAGCAAGATGAAAAGGATATACGTCTGCTTTCTCGGGGCTGCTGTTGCTTGATAAAAATCTGTCTTGCTTCCAAGTGCTGGAAGGCGCTCTGTAACAGTTGATCGTTTATAACTGTGCTGACTTAAAAATCTTTAAAAAGCGGTGGTGATGGAGGGGTGGTAGTTTTGTACCCCCTTTTGTATACCGAAGGCTACAATAATTTGACTTTTTAATATACACAGCCTGTCAGTTCTGACATTGCCTGCTATATTAGGTTGGAGAAGCCTTATCAAATTTAGCAAGTTCATTAGATATTTTCAAAAGTAAGCATTTTCCTCCCTCACCCCCCACCTTAGGGATTTATTTAAAAGCTAAACCAGAACAAACGTGAAGAGCACAAGGACAGCAGCTTCAGTCCCTGAAGAAGCTCTTTGGCCATGGAAATACCTTTGTGTGATTTACTGGTCTGGAAATTTGGATGCTTTGCCGTGCAAAGCCGTGTGTGAAACGGGCAGATAAAACTTCAGTCAAAGCTTGCCGTTAGTGAAGCCAGGCACCGAGCTGCATTTTTGTGCTGCGGTTCCTCCAGGATGGGACCGAGGTGCCTGTTCTTCCCGGCACTTACTACAGGGACATAATGCATATGGATGGGAATTACTCCGGCAGGTCAACAAGCCGGAGCTACCTGTAGCAGCGTTTGGTGTCATTCATTAGTCTTGTCTATGTGACCTGCTGCATATTGTCTGTATCCTTCCTCTTCAGGGGCTTTTAAATAAAAAGGGCAAGCCAACTACTGCCGCTGGCTCCTGGAGCTGCTCCTGCAGCTCACTGGTGTGGGCTGGGTGCTGGGCGGCCGGCGTCCTGCCTGCTGGTGACCCAGAGTAGAAGCGGTTGTTGCCAAGGCTGCTTATTTGAATTTGGGATCTAGTCTACGTGGGTTGGGTGCAGTGTTCTGGTGACCATTCGATGACAAAATGGCAAAAGGGCTTTATTCTGCGGGGGAGGCCTTATGTCTGGTAATCAGATGGCGATGCTGCATACTGGTGGTGTTATTAGATGTACCTTACTCTGACAGAGGTCAGTGCGGAACCGATAACCGGTTCTGGCATCTCGGTGCTCCGGTGGGTCAGTGTGTGTGCCAGCTGTGCGTACCCAGCCTGTGGAGTAGCTGCTTTCCTGTCTGGCCGGGCACATGGGCTGTAAGAGGTGCAGTTGTGCACATCTGTTCCTCCTTCTGGGGCAAAAAAGAGAGTGTCAACAACTCCTTTCATTTGAGTCACTGCTGGTTAAACCCATGTGAAGCTGGCTATTCCAGAGCAGCAAATGGAGGGCATGCCCTTTTGGAGTAACACCCAGGCTAAACTGGGATATTTTTTTTTTTAAAGCTAACCAGTGGATTTGGATGTCTGATTCCAATTAAGTTAACTGTGGGTGGGGTGTCTGTGTCCCTTGGCTGCCTGATAAGAGTGAGCCAGAGTAGCAGGGAGAGATGTTATTCCAAAGCAAATGATGGACCTTGAAAATCAAGAATTCTGTTGTTTGCTTCCTCCCCTGCTTCTGTCTGTAAACTCCTCCAGGTTAGTCCTGCTACTTCCCATCTTATTTTAAGTATTGGGTGGACTTTGAAGTCTTTTTCAAAAGAATGTAAACTGAACACACTGGCAGAACTCGGGAGTTTTCCTTTCCTGCCACCCTTCCTTCCCTACCAGGCTGTAAAGAGTAGCAAGGTCAGACCTTTTCCCTATGATTTTTTTTTTTCTTCTTCTTTTTAGACTGCTGTGCATTTGCAGGTCTAGATGGAGTAAGAGAGGAAGTGTTTCCTGCTCTTGGCATTGGGCATAGATGTGTACCTTAATAATATTGCTGTATCTTCTTCACGCAGAGTACTATGAAGTCCTCACCAGACAGTACAAGGGATTTCTCTTTATGGTCGATGGCCAGTGTTTGGGCATCTTGTTCAAGCAACCTTGATGTAGATCCATTGTCCAGG